TCTATCTATCTATCTATCTATCTATCTATCTATCTATCTATCTATCACATTTCTGAACCACCCTTCTTTCTCAACAAACCATAACCACCAGGAACTAACAGCAAGGTTTCATGCTCTTTTCTTGGGGTAAACATGTGAAAAGTAGAGCATGAGCCCTAAAATAGGCAGCATAGTTAAGAAAAGTGGATTTCAAGTCCTCCAAAAATGTTAATGTTGGCATCTGCCCATCAACACTGGCCCAATCTCCTTGCACATTTTTTTAGAGCAGTTAGCCCTTTTCTTCTGAAGTTCCCAAATGGAGCATGAAAAAGAGGGACAAGTTTTTTCACAACCATCTTCCTTAATTTGTTGCCTTCTAAGTTACAATACCCATTAGCCCAACCAACATGGATTGCAATGCTAAAAGTACAACCTGAATTCTTGGAGCAGAATTAATAGATGATTTTCTTAATAGATGATTTTTAGATGCTTAGAATCACAACTCCTAACCTTATCTTCAGAACGAATGAGTTTCACTATAACAACAGTTGAACAAAACACAGCTCACATTCAGCCTTTGCAACAACTCTTCTCAACTTGGAGCACCCCTTGTAATTCTCAACAATCCCAGCTTGAAATGAATGAACGGGATAGGTTAGGGAAAGGGTGTCAAACTGGCGGCCCAGGGGCCAGATGCGTTACACGTAGACCACGCCCACCCCAACTCCGTGAAGGGAAAAATGTTGTGAAACATGTGATGGCAATGTGAAGCCACGAGTTTGGCCCCCCTGGGTTAGGATGACATAAAACATCTGGAAGGTAGAAGGAGTTGGAAGGCCTGTTTATAACAAGTGGGATGTGGAAGGATCTTGCTTCTAAAGGTGGAATCTCTTAATTGTCATGACTAATTGCTATCACAGTGACAGTTATTTAGTGGCCATCAACACTGCCTTGTGGTAGACAACCTTTTACTGTATGTTAAGTGAAGCCAACGTAATCTATTTTTTGTAACTATGTGCTGAGTGAAGATGTACATCATCTTCCACTATTCAACTCATCACCAGACCCTGAATTCTTGCATTGTCTTAGTTAGGGGTGGGGGGTGGGAGAGAACTCTGATTACTGTCAACACTGTGCATTTATCACTCTCTTTCATGTCTCTTTATTGCAGTGGTTTTCAGCACCCTTAAACTAAACAAACCTGCTTTGATAGGATTATCTGGAAATTGAACTTTTGCTGCATACTACTACAAATATTGATGAACATATTGTGATGCCAATTCTCAATGTCTTCTCAATTTCTATCACCCCTTAATGCATGTATTTCCTGAGTTAGGACTGGTGGTATTTTTTTTATTACAATTAAATATATTTAAAAAATCAGGAAAGAAAAAGAACATTCCAGAACTATGCAATCTCTGAATTAGCAGGTCTAAGAAATAAATGCAAAATGGTTCAAATGTACAGAGAAGGAGGAGGTCTAGTTCCAAGCAGTTGGTTTCACACATGCCCCCAAAAGTTCAGAACTTTTATCAACACCAAACAACCCACCAAAGTGAACAGAAAACAGGTTTTATTTTATGACTTTTAATTTACCAACAATTTCAGAATGTATTTATATTTTATTACCCACAGTTATATTGACCAGCTATCTTTGCATGTGCTAAAAATGTCTTCTCAAAGTGCATGTTTTCAGTGAAGAGTTTGGCACTAATGTCCTTCCTAATCTTCTTTATATATATAAAAAAGGCTGTGTGTGTGTGTGTGTGTGTGTGTGTGTGTGTGTGTGTGTTCCAGCATAAATTGCTGGAAATTGCTTGAGCAATTTCAACCAAACTTGGTACACAGATGACTTATTCTCTGGAAAGAAATACTGTGGGAGTAAGACACCCCTAAAATCCCTTGGTGTGTGTGTTCTATAGATACAGTCTGTTGTCCCTTAAAATGACTTCTACTGTACTGCCCTAAAATGGCTTCTACTGTGCAGCGTACAGTACACAGTATTCCACAATGGGGCTCCCTCTGGTAAGGGGGAAAATCCAACGTTAAAAATTACATTTGGTCTGGACATTTTCCCCCTATAAATAAATACCTGGGCAACGCCGGGTTATTGGCTAGTTCATTATAACTGAGCCTGTAACTAAGTCTTGATTCCCCTGCAACTTTGCCAACTTGGTTAATGCTTCCTAATTTTCACCATTTTGATTTCTGCTATCTCATCTAATATCTCGCAAAAAGTCTCAAAGCAGTGTTATTCTCTGTGAAATGCTGGGCACCCTGATGATGTTAGTTTCCCAATAATTTCAGAATAGATTTCTATTTTATTACCCACAGATGCATCTGCACACAAAGCCAAGATTTAGTGCATTGTTTCATGGCATTTTGCATACTGAAAGCTCTCAAGTTCTATCTGAAACATCTTCAGCTCCAAAGAATCTAGAGTGGCAGGTTGGAAGCCCTGGAGAATTGTGACTGCTGGGATGGACCAGGGCCAAGCAAGACTTCTACAGTCAGGCCAACACTTGTTTTCCTTATCAAAGACCAAAAGGGCAGGGTGTTAATGAGATGGCACTTCTGAAAAAGGCAGCAGCACAATTCCCTGCACCTCCCTTCCATATTAGGATGTCTGGATTATTATTTTTTTAAACCCTCAAAAAAGGGCGTTCTTAGTGTACGTATTTTGCTTCTTAATTTTCAATTCTTTGCTGACCCAACACATAGAGTTTTTTAGTGATGGGATCTCAACATGAACTGATGGCAGTAAATAAGGTGCAGTTGCCTATCCTTGGGGAACAATCCTGGGCAAGATGGATTGTTTAAACTTTCTATAAGAGAGCGACTTTGTATGTCTGTATGACAGCACTCAAATCATTGATTGTTGGAATGGGGACTCCAGCATTATACAGGAGCCCTCAAATTATAGAATACAAATGCCTATAAATGTTAGTTTAAAGGCATGTTTATATAAGGGAAAGTTGCTTCTGGAAGAAGGTGTTGGGATGGACTGAGGTTGGTCTTTCCACTTATATTTACCTACTACAAATTCATATTTTCCTTCCCTATCAACAATGTTTCCTGGATGGATTTAAATGCATACATAAATACATATATTTTGACTTGTGAGAGGCAATACGTAGCCAGTCTTGTTTGAGCTAGAAAGCTAAGCAGAGTCAATTTCAAAGGTAGACCAGGAGTTTTGTTGTGGAAGCAAAAATGATATTTTCAGAATTTGTAGATGTAGTGTGATTACAGTGCAGTGCAGTGTAAGTATGTTCTTTTGTAATCCACTGAGATCAATGGAGCCAGTAGCTATGCACAGGGCAGCAGCATTGAGCAATAGCTGGAAAGAATAAAAATTCATCGGATGTATACAAAGAAATTGATTGCAATGTAATCAAATATATACTACCAACATTGCATTGTTACAAGAAACTGAACTGGATTTAGCTTTAAGTTTTTGATACAGTAGGCTTTACCCAGATTGGTAAAATTACCTAACTGATCTTGGGTGATCTCAAAAAGGGACGCAGAATCAGAGCTGATTAGTATTTATATTAGGGGCTGCAAGGAAATCCAAAAGCTATAGGTTAGACAGAGAAACTGAGAATACTTCCTAGAAAGTTGTGACTGGAAATCTCTTATCATTTTTTTGTACAGAAATGAAAAAAAATGAACTTGTGATTTATGGCTTTAATGATTACACAGGATAGATTATAGAAAAAAGAGTATTATGATGTAATTTTAAAAAGAGAGATATATTAAAATATAATTGTACTTATATCTGCTATAAAGAAAAGACCCTTTTTTCTTTCTTTTATATTTTTCTTTAGCTTTCCTTTTTTCTCTTTCCTACACTTTTTGCTTTTTTGCTTCCTTTTTCTTACTTTATATCTATTTATATTTGTTTCTATCATCCATCCATCTATCTGTCTGTCTGTCTGTCCTCTGTCCATCCATTCATCGCCTATGTAAACAACATTGACATGAAGTCATTGGGAATTGAGCTTAAATTTGTCATTTTGAAGCTTTATTTTACTTCAAACATACTTTGTGAGTGATTTGAGTGGGTCTATAATGCATCGAAAGCTCATGGATAAGTATGCCCTAGGCCAGGTACTATTTTTTTTTACTTTTTAAATTTGTGTCTACTCTCCAAAAATCAATTTTCTTCCATCTAAACAATTTGAAAATATCATGCTCTACACATTTGAATGTAATATATAGCTTGAACCCACATCCAACAGTCTGTTTGCTGATGTAGACTAGGTGACAAAGGTCCAGTGATGTCAACATCACTTTAAACCAGTGGTTCTCAACCTGTGGGTCGGGACCCCTTTGGGGGTCGAATGACCCTTTCACAGGGGTCGCCTAAGACCATCGGAAAACATATATTTTTGAAAAATATGGAAAACATAAAATAATTTTATGGGGGTCACCACAACACGAGGAACTGTATTAAAGGGTTGCGGCATTAGGAAGGTTGAAACCCACTGCTTTAAACCCTTTACCTCCTTGCCCAAGGATTCCCTAATATAGGGCTATCAAACTCCCGGGCCACGGGCCGGATGCATCATGTGCTGACCACGCTCATACCACCCATTTTAGCAAAGGGGGGAAAGTCCCAATACATCATGTGACGCCATCATGATGATGCGAGTTTGACACCCCTGCCCTTTAATACATCAACTCCCTTATCTGGGCATATTTCCCACCCTTTGTATCTCTAAGATTACCTCCTGGAACTTCGTATTTGTGATTCTCATTGGCATACCCATCAGGAGGCCAAACCTTACCCTCCAAGGAGTAACTCAAACACCAGTGGTACATGAGGGCAATTTACCGAGGTGCATCGGAGAACTGTAAACTGGAGAGTGCCTTGCGATTCCCTGTTAAGACAATATAATAAAATAAAACAACAGAAGTGTGAATACACTGGATGGGGAACAAGGACAACACCCCAACCCTTTCCTGCTAAATGGCTTTATTTGAAGACTTCGCCATGAATGCCAATACGAGCTGTATCTTTATTGTAAGATTATATTAACATATTTTTTGCAAGACTAAAAAGTATTTCTCCTCTCCTTTCCTTTTGCTTTCCAGAAAACCAGGCAGGTTCTCTTCTGAAAAAATTCCCATGTCCTCCCTCCTTTGGTGGGCTGAAACACCTTTAGCAGGCTGTCTGCAGCTCTCCCTTCTGTCTCTTGATGTTATTGCCACATACTCGTAATGATGAACCTATGGCAGGCGTGCCACAGGTGGCATGCGGAGTCATTTCTTAGGGGACACAAGGCGTTGCCCTGTCAGTTCCAGTGCACATGTGTGTGTTGGCAAGTTGATTTCAGCCTTCATTCTCTGCTATTTTTAGCCCTCCGGAGGTTTTCCTGAAGCCTCCGGAGGGCGAAAAACAACAGCGCGTTGGGCTATTTTTCACCCTCTGAAAGCTTCAGGAGGCTTCACCGTACCATTACCTGCCAGAAGCGAGGAAAGCACCGGGGGTGGGGGAGGACGTACAGGTCCATTGTACCATTACCTGTCAGAAGCGAGGAAAGCACGAGGGGGGGGATGTCGCGCATGCATGCATGGGGGGGGAGGATGCATAGAATTATGGGTGTGAGCACACATGAGCATGACCCCCCTGTTCTCCCCCCGCTTTTGGCACACAATGGCAAAAAGATTAGCTATCACTGTCCTCAACTTACACTATTTCATGTAGTGACCGTTCAAAGTTACAGCAGCACTGAAGAAAGTGACTTACAACCATTTTTCAGAGTTACGAACTTTGAAACATCCCCATGATCACGGGACCAGACTTCAGATACTTGGCAGCTGGTTCCTACTTACGATGGTCACTGTGTCCCATGGTCATTTGATAACCTTTTGCGACCTTCTGACAAGCAAAGTTAATGGGGAAGCCAGATTCACTTAACAAGCGGAATACTAACTAATCAACTGCAGTGATTCACTTAACAACTGTGGCAAGAAAGGTTGTAAAGTGGGGCAAAACTCATTTAACGAATGTCTCATGTAACAACAGAAATTTTGGGCTCAATTACGGTCCTACGTTGAGGACTACCTGTACCAAAATATCCCAAATGCTTTTGAGTATGGCATAATACCATAACAGCTTCAAAATAGGGTATGGTTTTCTAAAGAGCTCAGTTGAGGAGAGGAGAAAAAGAGAAGCTCTCACAAGCTAACATGGCGTGAAAGTCAGCTACTGGAGTGATGTTTAGCCATACCCCTTTGCCCTGAAGCAGCAGACTCCCATACTGCACCTTAAAAGAGCAGCTGCTTGTTCACCAGTAAGGTCTTCTGTTGCGTCGTCGTTTATTGCAAGGATGCGATCCCCTGGCAGAAGCTTCCCATCAGCAGTGCTGCCTGCAAAACATCAGCCTTGTCAGGGAGGTACTTGGTATTTTCTGTTTACAACATCACCCCAAAACAAACAAACAAACAAATGTGTGCTCGTATGCATGCGTATGTAAAGAAGCCATGTAAGATGACCTGGCATTGCTTGCCTACAATTTGAAAATTTGAATCCAAATTATTGAAAGGTTCTTAATGTGCACCATTCAGCAAGCCCACACTGCCCTTTCTAGCAGAAGTAATGGCAGGAAGGACAATCTCCTTCTCAACATAACCTGCCACTACATTCTGTTGTTCCAAAGGCTGTTTTGTTGTCCACTCCTGACTGACGCGAGGCATTTGAGGGTTGGCAACACTGGCATCTGCTTAGATTGACATCCCAGCAAGATCTGACTACCAGTTTCCCTCTGGCAAGCCGAAAGGAACAGATGAGAAAGCATTGTGCCCGATCTCTATTCTTTCAAAAATCCCAGAGCCTGGATTCAGCCAGTTTTCTCTATCTGACTATGTATATTTAGCTTGGGATCAAGACAATGTCAGAGATCAGCATGTTCTTAAGACATCTTTCTTTTTAAAACCACAGCTTTGTATTTCTCCAGACAATTTTCAACATCAGGAAAATGTGAGAAAGGAAACCTGTTTTCTACCTGCAGCAACTGATGTGATCAAAAGGCGAAAATTACGAGAAACTTCAATGCCATAATGTCCATGCAGCACGTCTTTTTGAACATCCACTGTGAGTTTGACATGACTTGGAGGTTGCCTACTGCCATCGGATGATCTATCACTCACTGATGCTCTCCCTCTGCAAATTTAGGGTAGAAAAAAGCCAGTTTAAAAAGAAGATATCCAGTTCTTCCCATTTCCTGAAACCTCAGCATTTGCTTTTGAGATAGTTTTACAACAGTGTATACCTACTGAGGAAAACACACAGTAACAGTCTGATAAATATTTTAAATAGTACTGGGCAGATCCAGAAAAGATACCCACAAAGCTCAAAAGTAATACTGATGCTCAATCTTTGTTCCATAAGACATATACACAGAGAGATCTTGACTAAAATATGTGTTGGCCTCAGTTAATCCTTTTCTTATTGTAATTTCTGTTTTTCCATTACTCTGTTGTTATTCTGTTTTCTTTTTCTCTGTTCTGAATGTTATATTATATATTACTGCATCCCATTTCTATTTCATTGTTTTCATGTTTCTGCAAATTGTAAGGCAGCAAGAATGGCTAGGTGAATTGGGCAGCCCTATGAATCTAATGAATAAATAAATGTTAGCATGCACATTTAAGCGTGAAGGCCAGTTTAGCCGGATATCCATATATTCAGCAAAGAGGCTGCACATGGACAGCTTTTTCTGCATAAGGTCACTTGATGTGAGTGGAATAGTTACACAATGGAGTTCCTAACCAAGTGGAAAATCCATGTGGACATGAAGTGAACATGAAAAGGCCTGATGTTATGTTACCAGTGCTGAAAAGTTGACTTGCTTTGAAGATAACAATTCTACAGTTTGGAACAACTCTGTAAAAATTTGAGCTTCATCTGTCTCCATCAAAAAGGAATTACAGTAAATGCTATACAGAAATAAATCAAGTTTAAGATAGCATTTACAGTGATAGATAGTGTCTCGTAAATTCCAATTAGTGGGCGTGCATCCCAGTGGTGGGTTTCCATTTTTTTTCCTATCGGTTCGCTCATGCATGTGCATGATGCTTCTGTAGGTCCAGGTGGGTGGGCGGAGCCTTGCGCCGCCACCACTACCGGTTCGCCCGATCCAGGCTGAACCGGGAGCAACCCACCTCTGGTGCATCCCCTAGACCAGGATAGAAACATTGCTGCCTTCACGGTATCTATCACAGAAAAGCCACAAGATTTCCAAAGTCACACAAAAAAAGCAAAGTCCATATTGGCCATCAGAAAATTGACAACATTATAAATATTAAGGCATAATTAAGGTATTTATTTTTTCACAGATTTGTTCTGCAGTGCAACAAAGAGGGACATATTTGTCAATGATTTTCAATGATACACTCAATGGTACTTTCTGAGTGCCAAGATGTTCAAAGTTTAGAATGACATTTGTGTGTTTTGTGTTTCAGCAAGCATGATGAAATGATATCTCTAATCTTGAGAAAGTTGGCCTCGGGTTCCTTGGAAATTACTGAGGATTTTTCATTTTAAAAAAGATGAATAATGCTGCATCAGTTTCCCTCTAGCACAGCTTGCCTACTGAT